CCAACCTCAGGGAGCGGATCTGCAGCCACATCGAAACCCTTGACCAGAAAGACAGACGAGGCAGGAGCGCTTCCCTCACCCTCGATACTTTCTCTCCCTGACATTACACTTCAGGTAACCTCCTTGGGGTTTGGGGTTTTTTTTAAAAAATATTTTTTTTCAAGCTTCTCGGGTTTCAGCTTAGGACAAATGAAAACAAGCCAATTTGCAGGCAGTCCCAGATGTGGGATCGAGTTTTAATTTCATAAAAGCATTTGGGATGCAATGCCCAAGACATCTTCAATCCTCGAGCTCAGCCAGGGATGGGTTTGGAGCAAAGCACTGGGTACTTTGGCTGCAGCACCCCAGGACCTTCGTTCTTAGCAAATTCCCTTGTGTATTAAATCATTTAAAGAGTTTAGCACTTGCTATATGTGTTACTGCAAGAGCTTAAGAGGCTGGAGATCTCGATGTCCCATCATGAACACCAGCCAGGCTTCGTGCTGCTATGCCACGGGGGTGGATTGGGTTTTCATCCCATTTTTACTGCTTAAGATGTAAGAAAAGGTGGATTGGGTCGGAGCAGAGGTTTGTCTAATCCAGCATCTTTCTCCGAAGGTGGCCAAAAGCAGATGCCTTGGGGAAGTGCACAAGAAAAAGGCAAAGAAAGTGGATGGGAGGCGAAAATAACCAGGAGAATTAAATACACTTGTTCTAGCAGAGGACGTGCATAGGTCTTTGCTTTTTTGGTAGGGTTGCTGGGGTTTTTTTTTTAGTTGTTTTTTTTCTCTCTTACACAAAGGAAAAAACAGGAACAGAAAAATAAAATGCTACCAGAGGGGCATTTCAGAAATACTCCCTATCCCTCTCCCGGGGTGTAAGGAACTCCTGGGATCCCGCAGCTCTGCCCTTCTCCGGATCGAGACACGTGCCGGGTGCTTAACGGGGACAATGAGCCCCATGCCCATCAGTCCGTCAGAGCGTCTGCCACCTTCAATTCCCTGCCTGTTTTTAATCCCGTTTTAACCACAGCAAAGCTGAGGTTTCAAAGCTACAAGTTTCCTTCACATTTAGTGGAGCCGGAGGATGCAGGTGAAGATGCACCGGTGTGGGGAAAAGCAGCCAGCTCAGCCTTTTATTGGATATCAGAGAATCCAAAGGGGACAAATTCACAGCGAAGGGTACCAAAACACAAAATCTTTCCATGTCAGAAAACCAGGAAGCCCGAGAACTGTCAGTAACAGCGTCTCATAACTCTGGGAAAAGCTACCCCTTCCCCTTGGACACAGCATATGATGCTCCGCATCGTTTCTCGTTCACCGGGAGCCTATTCCCGAGGTTTCAGGCTTGATACGGATGCGGGACATCACCTGTGTCACCCACCTGGTGCCAGGTGTCGGTGTTTGCCTCAGCCCCATTAAGTCACCACCGACTTTTCTGCAGCAAAGCACCCGGGGCAAACAGACCACGACTTGGCCAAACCTCACCTTCCCTTCGGGTGGGGGTTTCTGGCATCGGTGCTTGGTTTCTTCCTTCCTTACCCGGTAAATACTTGGGGTTTGGGTGGGGTTTTTTGTCTCTTTGGGTGATTTTTAAGGGCACTTGGTTAAAAGCGTGGCTGGCACCTGATGCTGAAGGAGCGAGGTGTTGGTTTTAAATTGGGTTTCTGCTCCTGAATAGATATTCGAGGGGAAAGCTATGGCCTGGGGTATCGCGCCGGGTGGAAATCTCCCTCTCTGTTCCTAATAAAGCTCTTTGCAGCTGGAGCCTTTGCAGCAGGGGATGTATTTGGGCTGAAATTGAACTTTCTTGTGGGGAGAGGCACGGGTGATGGATCCTTTATTTCCCTGTAGGAGCTGACGAGGGGGAAGGTGCTCGGTCGGGTCTGTCGTGTTTGTTTCTTTACAGTAATGAAAAAGCAAAGAGAGCTTTCCCCCCCAGTAAAACACATTAAATTTGCCAAATCATTACAACATAGCAGGGGGGGGGAAAAAAAAAAATTGCATTTGCTGGGGGAAAATAAAACACCAGGCGATGTGTTGAGAGCTGGAGGGGGTGACATCAGGCATCCCTGAGCTGACGTGTCCCATTAAAAGGAAGGGGTTTATCTCACCGTTGGCCCCGGTCTAACGGGAAAGAGGGCTCTGACTCAGGGAGGGTGTGCTGGGAATTGGCAGGAGGAACGTGGGCTGTTTTTCGGGCACCCAGCAACCCCGTAGTCGTGCCAGGTTGGCTCAGCTGTAAAGCTAACCTCGTTTTTCCTGGGCCATCCAAAGGTGATGTGAAAAGGGGCTGTGACTGAGGCTTTGTCCATGTATGGGGCGGATGACTCCGGAATAGCACATTGGGAAGGGATGGTCCCGGACAATGGTATGTGCAGACACGGTTGTTCCAGGATGTGAGAGTGCTGTTCCAGTTTACATTAATCCGTTTAACTCTATAGTGCTGTTATCCCAACAAAAGAGCATCCTGATTTCAGGCTAAAGCAAACCAGCCTCAGGCATTTAATGTCCAGGTGCAGGCAAGCCTGGGGGCTTGCAAGGACTTATCCACCTCTCGGTTCCTTCAGGCTGGGTGATTTTTATTTATTTATTTATTTATTTAGGCCAAATCCTGTAGCATGACATAGGCACGACCGCAGCCCCCTGGGGAACCAGGTGTAACTTTAAATACAGTTTTATTTCAGGTTTGCTATTGACGCACAAACAGCAGAGATCGATGTTTAGTATACATGGTATACACAAAGCAGCCAGTACGATCGGCATCTCCGTCCTTTTGCTGCACGCTCGGCAAAAGAACTGCGCACAAGAAATCCCTCCCGCCCCATCCTTCCCCTCCCCGTCGAGAAGGGTGACAATTTCTCGGTGGCTTGGAAACCGTCTCTTGAATGGCAAGACACAAAAGGGCAGCTCCTCGGAGCTCTGTCCCCAAACGAAAGCACGGTGGGCTCGGCTATGCAGGAAAACTCTCTGGATATGGATGATACGTTCACGGGAATGGAGAGCTGGAAGGGATTTCCCTAGAACATTAAATCCCATCCCCTGCTGCGCGCAGAGCAACCGCAACATCTGCTCCTGGCTCCGTCGAGCAGCGTGGAAACCCAAAATATGTTCAAAAAGGCATTCTGTAAATCCAGGGAGGATGGGTCCACAAACATTGTCACGAGGAGTTTCGCTAAGCTGGTGGAAAGGTCTAGCAAGGAAAGCCTCGTGCTGTCCCGTTCCTTGTGATCTTTCTCGCCTCGCCCACAGCTGCTGGAGACCTTTCGGAGCAGACCGAAGGGCAGAAGGAGTTTCCACGCTCTACCTGCATGGGATCGAGCGAGCAAGGTAGCCTCCAAGCCTTCAGCTGCTGAGACAGCATCTTCTGCCTCCCTACAATCTGCGTATCATCCCTCCTGTCCCTTTCTGCTGGTCCCAATAACTGCATAGCTCGACCCAGAGACTCTGGCTTGCTCACAGTCACAGGTAATTAATTAAGAGGCACCTTCAGCAGTGAAAAAAGCAAAAAAAAAAAAAAAAAAAAAAGTGAAATGGTCCCTGATGATTTGATTTGAGCAAGAGACCAAAGTGATGCGTTAAATGGTCGCTGGGAAGAGGGCGGTGCGTGAGGTAAGACAGCCTCCGACCACAACGGGCACGATGCTACATAACCGTCAGAGGTACGGAATAAACCCTTGCACAAAACCCCAGAGGGAGAAACTGGTTGTCGATGCTCTGCAGCCCCCTCTTTCCTGAACCCCGCTGAGCCCCTTTCCCCCCCAAGACCCAAATTTATCTTCCGCTCCCGCAGCTCAAAGGCAATGCTGGGGAAGTCGTCCCAGCTTTGCTAGAGTTCAGCTCAGGCTATCCCAAGGAGGCTTAACGCAGAGGAAAAATAACCCAACCTGGCCCAAAGGTTGGAGGGCAGAGGGTGGTGGGATGTCTGGGCACGGCATACTGGTCCCATTAAGCAGCGAGCACCATTTCCAGAGCGGAGTCAAGTACCGGCAGCTTACGGGGCTGCATCTGACCCCATACGGCACCGTGCCGTGGTACTACAGTACAGTTGCTTGTTGCTTTTTTTGGAATGACAGCTCAAATCTCAGGTCCGTTAGTGATCCCTTTTTAGCCCTGAAAAACTTCAGGCGGGCGGTTTACAACCTGCCCTGGACCGGGGTGTAAAGGAGCATCCAGCTACGCGCTGGGTGCTCGCACAGCCCCATCCCAAAGCACCATAGGAAAAACCTCAGCCAGGTGAGACCCCACTGGGATTAATGCCGTCCCCACCACGCAAGGTTTATGTCTGTCAAGGTGGGAGGAAGGAGGTTTAAAAAAAAAAAATACAGAGTTAAGCACCATAAAATCTACACTGGTCAGGTCATAAACATGAGGAGAAAATGAAAATAAAGCCACCACCTTCCAGCCTCACCCTGGGATGCTGCTGGGGCTCTCTGGACCACCCGTGCTGCAAAGTCATCACCAGCGAGCCCTGGAGGCATCAGTCCCAGCCCCTCGTCACACCGGTGGTTGGACAAGATAATTTGCCATCGTTGCACTGGTAAAACCTTTTGGTCCCATTTAGCATGAGCGTCGGGGGAGTCTGGGGAGGGGGGAGGTAGGCTTGGCCCTGGGAAAACGGGGAAGGCTTCGGCTGTGCAATTTAGGAGCATCTCCCTGCCTGTACTTGGATCCAC